ACATATTTTTCCTATGGAAAATGGAATTAATCAAATTGGTAATAATTGACGTTGGATGTCCTGTGGATTGCGGGTAATGTGAGAATGATAAGTAATAGAGATATTTGTTTGTTAAGACATAAAAATAGAAAGTGATATAAGGTCAATAGATTATTCGTGGTGATATATATACATAATTTTACATTAAAGTAGTACGTGAAAGTGGTCACATAAGTTTCCTACTTCCTGAGTTACCCCAAAATTATGGTAAGTGTTTAGCATATAGATCTATAATGTATGGCATAATAAGAATCATGTTATTAACTAATATTCTATTTTTTAAATATTATTAAGTGTTCAACGATCTATTCTCTTTTTCACTCATCATTGATAAACCAAATGATTAGCACACTTTCTATATTTTTGCTAAGTACTCTTAAGTTAAACTTGCACAAAGACCTACTTTCACTAACACCTTCTAGTCTATCTAGTGAACTAGCCATTTCCATACTATTTAGTTAGATTCAGTTAATCAACTTATATTCATTCTTAAGGTACTTATGATCCACCCGAGGATGGAAGTTGGTAGATCATGCTCCAAGTTACACAAAACCTTTGTCATATTCCCCAAAACATCAAAGACAATATCTACGCCGAGAAAAAAGTTCGGAACATGAGGTTGCACAACAGACATCCTTCATCTATTAGAACTTTATTCTTGTGGAATTTGAAAAAATCAACCTACAACATAAATTCAATATTCGCAAGGAATGAAGACCTAAAACTCAATCCCATGGAACTAAATTCTATAGCCAGAAAATAGCTGGATCCTCAAGCAATAATGTAAATTATAGGTTAGAAAAATTCCATAGGACGAACCGATGATAGAGCCTTTGAGTGAGAATGATAGAAAATATTATGTTATTTTGGATATCATTGCAAGTGATCAAGATTTAGAAATGGTCTTGTAAAATCAACATAATTTTGTAATCGATGCCAATGGAATTTTTACATAAATATTCAGTGCTCCACAAGTCCAACCCGAATTTCTCTAAAAGAGTGTGATGGTAAATGGTTGCAGTCCCATGGTATGCCAGATGAAGTAAAAAAAAATCAGCTTGAAACAAAGGTGGAGTACGTGGTGTTTGAAAAACCTTTGGAAGGGAACACTCGCCATTTGACACCTTTATTTCTGATTGTATCTTTGGGCAGCCAGACTATTAAGAAAATCCTTGTTGATAGAGGTGCTTTGGCAAAATATTTAACTCATTTATCTTATGAAAGATTGGGAAGAAAAAGAAAGATCTGGTCCCAATGGCGATGGAGACAACATACTTCATGAGAATTGCTCACAAGCTAATTGGAATTGCGGTAGCTGATATTACAGTGGGAACTTGAAATGATCATATTGCCTTTTTGCTATTCTTCACAATGTGTTTTGTCCATCCTTCGATAAAATGTGATGTTTTGGAACAGAAACAATGTAGAGACAATGGAGGATGAGGAGAATCCATTCATAGAGATACTTTATAATTCTTTATTTTTAATCAATTTTATTTCCATTGTAAACAATGTTACATGACTCGGACATGTGAGATAAATGCAATATTACACTGGGAGGATTTGAAGTTCTCGTCAAGGTGGATCCACAGTTCATATTAAAAATAAAAAATAATTGTCCCGTACGGGATGGTCTGGTGGTGTTGGGGTTGGATTTATGGTCACCTGCCACACATAGTTTGCCTAGCGTGACTTTCCGTTTACCCAGTGCATATTTTCGGGTAGCGACTGCGGGTTTTTTTATAGTTTTTTTGTAATTATTTTTTAAAATATTGAAGTATAATATTTATGTTTTTAAAATAATTGGAAAACAATATTTTCGTTAATATATATATCAAATAATTTGAATATAGAAATTGAAAATGATAACGAATATGATCTAGAATATGATCATATTCAAAATAGAGGCATAAACATAGTCTAGAACATAGTCATGTGAGAACATGGTCGTGAATGTGGACAGAAACATGGTTGTATTGACAAGCATGAAAATTGGCAAGAACATGAACGTGTTCAGAACATGACCGTAAATAGGGGCATGAACATGGCTATGTTCAGTGCAAGTTAACGAAGTGCAGGTTAACGAAGTGTTCAGTCTTGTCAGCTACCATGAAACTAAAATTGCTAAATTCTCTTTTGAATGTAATAAAATAAAATAAAATAAAATAAAAATTCAACGGGACCAAATTTGATAATTATAATATACAATAAGATCAAAAATAATTTTTACTCAACAAAGTTTTTAGACATGAGGTTTTTTCAGCAAGTTTTGTAAATCACATAGGATTTTATAGAATTAATTATTTTGTTTGAAGCCAAAATTCTAAAATTATATATATATATATATATATATTAATGGTTCTTTGTAGAAGTGAGTTATACTAATAATTATCTATAAATTTATATTTTATCACAATGACTTTCAAGAATAAACACTCTGACAATTAACAATATCATATTACTTAGAATTTAGAATTATTATTATTATATTATTATTATTATTATTATTATTTATTGATTCATAGTAGACTAAACAATTAGTTATAATTTTTATTTATTGATTCATAGTAGACTAAACAATTAGTTATAATTTTTATTTATTGATTCATAGTAGACTAAACAATTAGTTATAAAATTATAATTTATCTCACAATGCTTTCAATAAAAAAAAAAAAAAAAGAAAAAAAGAGAAGAAGAGTTGTTATAAATATGAATATTTATATTAATTAATACTTCTTCTGTTCCAATATAATAGTCTTATTTTTCATTTTTGTCCGTTTCAAAACAATAGTCTTATTTCCATAAATAATCATATTACCGTAAAACTACTACTTTTTCATTTTTATTACACAATTGCCACTATTTTTTACACTAATACACTCACAAGAACAAAAAAGTCTTTTACCCATGTTTTTTACCGACTATCAATATAATACGGAGAGAGTAAATATCTTGGTGGTTAGCAAAGTGTAAATTTAATATTTAATAATGAGTCAATGATCCAAATAATTCAAATGTAACCAGGCCCTAGGCACAGGGCCCATAAGAGGCCCAATAATATATATATATACTCCTATATATTAATATATATATTATTATTATTATTTTTTTGTAGAATGTATAGAATAAAATTTAAATAAAAAATTTATTTTATAATTATTTTTTAAATAAATAATTTTTACATTAATTTTTAAATTATTTATTTGTATATTTTAGTGTGTTTATTTAATGGTATGATTTTATATTTTTTGTGAATTAATAAAATTAAAAAGATATGATAGATAATATTTTTTGTTCTTATTATTTTTATTTTTATATTTATATGTTTAAATTTGTATATTTTATTATATTTTTTAGTAGTTGTTTTAAAAATTTGTGTATTATATAAACATTGAATTTGTTTATTTAATCTAAACTTTCTAATTTTTACTCTTAGGACTATGCGTTTCTCTCTCACAAATATTTTATTAAACATTATTTTAATATCAAATTCAAATCAAATTTTTTCCTAAACCAATCAAAAGAAACAAACCCTTAATAAATATGTTTGTTTGAAAATTTTCTTTTAAAGACTTTTGATTGTTTATAAAAATATTCTTTAAGAAAATTAAATCAAATATATATATTTTTTAATTTTTTTATGTTATACTAAATATGTTACATTAATTTTATATTTATATTTTGATCTTTTAATATATAAAAAATATTTTTTTAATACATTTATATTAAAAAATATATATTATATTATTATTATTATAATATAAGAAATATATTTAAGAGCTCAATATTCTAATTTTGCCCCGGGTCTAACAAAGGTCAACAACGGGCCTGAATGTAACTCATATTAATAATTATTTATAAACTTATTTTAATCCATAATCCTTTCAACAATAAAAATTTATTATTATTAATATCGTAAAATGAAATGATATTTTGTTCCACATTGTTTCTATCAATGAAATAATAATAATAATAATTATCCTATTATATTTTAATTTTTGAATTTGTTTTAATGATTAATAGTCTGTATGTAATAGTAGGTGAGTAATGACAAAATTAGGATCTAAATTTTGGGAGGAAAAAGTATCTATAATTTATTTAATACTTAAATAATAAATTTAAATAGAAAATAATGATAGGATCACATATAAATTTAAATAATTTGGGGGAGACAAATTGTATAAACTTCTTAAAACTTGTATGTGACTCATACTAATAATTATTTATAAAATTATTTTTATTCAATAATAAATGACAAACTTCTTAACCTGGCCCATCGGATTCGGCCCAAATTCTTTAACTCAAATCCTAAGCCCAAACTCTTCTATATCAAATCCTAACTCATTAGTTTGTTAGGGTGATGTCAAAAACTTAGTTAGGAGTTTAGTTAGATGATGGGTTTTCCAGTGTGTAAGATGAAACAAAATTTGGGGTAATTTGAACATTATTTGTTTTATTGGGGTAATTTCTCTCAGTACAAAATTTTATTTATTAATTAAAAATGTTATCCTTACCGGACTTTGGAGTTTGGATGGATTCGAAGAAGATGCTATGCAATACAAGTAACTTTTATTTGTTAGGTATTAGGTTCGATCGGGGTTTATCCAATGCACACTTTTAAATAATCATTACCAAGTCATAAAAAAAAATAAAAAAATAAAAAAAAAAAGTTGGCAACTTGGATTATTAAAATGAATTAAAGATTGTATTCCATTCCAATGTGAAACGGACCCCACCCCACCCCACCCCGCCCCACCTGTTCAAATTAATTAATAGATAGTAATAGCAATTTGAATTTCAAACTAATGAGCAGAGGCGGAGGCGGAGCCGTTCAACTAATTGCTTTTCCTTATCAATTCGCTAACGCTAACGGTCACTTGAATTCATCGTCATCATCATCCCCAATTCCTTCTACTATTGATTGTTATCAATCACATCACAGCATCAACAAATCCATGGAATGAATGGAGAAAGGAGGAATTCACTTATTAATAAATCAATATGCTCTCGATTATTTCACTTATTTACAGAGGAAGAATACAATCGGATCAACAAAAGTAAAGAGGAAGCAATGGATAATCAATCGATAACAATAATAATACGAATGGCCGTAGAGCAAGAAAGTATCTAATGGCAGCAGCAGCAGAAATGAAGAAATCGAAATCAATATCAATATCAAAATCTATATATAATCATCATCATCATCATCATCAACACCAGAGCAGGATCACTGTATCAGAATCAGATTCAAAAGTAAAAAATGAATCAACGCCAATCGAAATCACACCTCTTAGATTCAAAAGCCTGTGGCGCCGTTCCGTTGGAGGTCAGCGGAATCTTCAAGTCGCACTCGATCTTGGGCTTCCACCTGGCGGACTTGACGATCCAGAATTTCAGACGCACACGCAATTTAAGCTTCACATCGATGTCGTACACGCCGGAAGTTCTGTCGCCGTTGTAGTTTGACATCTCCTTGGCGCCGAGGGGCACCACGTGTGTCCCGCTGAACTCCGCCGTCAGATTATTCGTCGATTTATGCCCCTGGTAGAACGTCTGCAGGTTGTCCCACCCGAATCTCTGCCCCTCGTACAACGCCTCCGCCTCGATCCGGTCGTAGTAGATCCCGATGCGCTTGTTCGGGTTGCGGATCGTCAGATTCAACGCCAGATTGTATCGGAGCGTGTTGTTGCCCTCGAGGCTGAACTCGGTGAGCGAGGCGTTCGTGGCGTAGAACTTGACGGCGTTGGGCCGGAAAATCAGCCACAGAACGAACACTACAACCCCCAGGATTACCAGAATGGTGCAGAGGATCTGAAAGACGCAGGTGCAGATACAGTTCATCAGGCAGCTGCAGCAGCAGGAGAACGGGTTGCAGCAGCACCCGCCGCCGCCGCCGCGGCCGGGGCGGTGGTAGGACTTCCGCGGAGGAGGTGGAATGGAGGGCCCGTAGTAGGCTCCATTGAGGTGCGGCTGCCGAGTTTCCCCCATTACAGAATTGGGAATAATTCTGAGAGCAGAGACCTAATCTAATCCCCTGTTCTTATGCTTCCAAAGAAACTGTCAAACAGGTGTGGGCTGATTCCAATCCAATCCAATCCAATCCACTTCAATCCAATATTCAATTAATTGAATAATGAACGAATAAACGGGATAGAAAAGAGGTGGGCTAGATTGTGGTGGGGTGGGTAATTTTTATAGCACTACCTAAGCGCGTGTAATCAACTCTTCTCCGCGGTTGGTGAATATTTTCATACAGACATACATACATACGCGGTTGCGTAGTGAAACCGTTGGCCATTGGCGGAGGATGACGATGCTGCCTGGTAATTGCGCCTCATTTGACTTGATTAAACCAATCAGGATATTTTTATTTTATTACATAGAATACTAGTATATTATTTATTTATGTTTTTTCTTATCTTTAATAGTATTATACTGCTGTTAAATGTGTACGTAGGCATTGAAAAACATATATGTTTATTTGTCTATAATTAAATATAATATATTTTGAAAAAAGAAATAAAATTTTAATAATAAATATGTATTGATTTTGTATACTAAATATTAACTATAATACACAAATACATTGTACAAATATGATATATTTATAAACTATTTAAATTTTGGTAAAAAAATTAAATAACCTTTGTCAATTAAAAAGTATCATAATTGATATCTAAGGAGAAAGACAACAATATAAAAATATCGACAAAGAAAAAAGATATAATAAAAAAAAATCTCTTTCAAATAAGAAAACTAATATAAAATGCAAAAAAGAAAGAGTAGTAAAATTTTATCATTAATCAGTCGGATTGTACCATGTGGTCTTGTTAAAAAAGGAACCAAAATTACCTTTTTTTTTTTTTATGATGTGAAAACTCGCAACCGCTACACTTTAGGTGACTTGAAGCATCGGGGGTTTGAATCCATGACCTTACAGTCACAAGCCCAACCTCACACCACCAAACCATCTCTTACGTGACAAGATTATCCCTCTCATATATATAAGGATCATGGCCAAAACATTCAAGACACCAATGTTCATTCGAATACTCGAGTAAATGGTAAGTCTTTCTAGATTACCCTTTACACTTATGCCCTGAATTTAACCTGGCACTCACCGGTTAATATAAGAAAAATTTATTATTCGATGAAAAAATTTTGGGCTATAATGCGACACTTTAGTACACGATAAATGCATTTTTACCTAAAAACCAAATTTCAATTATCAAATTTTTGGCTTTTTTGCTGAGATATTTGTTTTGAGGACGTATTTGAGTAAAATGATGAGTTTTATGATAGTTTTTATATTTTAGAACCCATCATTTAATAATAAATACTAATTGTGTTTAGTATGCTTTGGTACAGACCCAGAAATAAGAACTGATACACAACTTAGTGCCCGTGCCCAAAGAAATTTAAAGAGAACTATAAGGAAACAAGCAATGGAAAATAAGATGAATGATGATATTCCTAAAATATTACATACCCCCTTTAGTCAGAAGATGTGCCTCAACCACCTGTTATTAATGATATTTTGATCCAAATGCTGCAAACTATGCAGGGATGGATGAATTAAGAGACCACACCCACACAGTAGAGCAAGCGCAAGTACTACTAAATCATATGTTTCAGCAAAGGTTATCCCGTCATGCCAATGCCAATACAAATTTATAACCATTATCAAATTGAGTTAGAATCCGTAAGGTCCGAGAGACAATGTATCGATGGATACGCACTATGACGCATCGCTTGACGTAACCCTAGTCCTCAATGATGTGCGTAAAATTTGCGGGAACTTTGAATTTAAATCAGCTTTGATTTCTTTGCTAAGCCAAGACTTATTTAGTGGATTGAAGAATGAGAGCCGTTACGATCATATCAAAACCTTCGCCAGAGTCTGTTCAACTTTGAAATTCGCCAGAATCCTTATTTGATAATCTTAGCATGCAGGTCAAAAAGCTAACAAAACTGATCAATAAAAGCTAGCTCAATCTAAAGAAAGATAAAATGATGGAAGTAGAAATTACAGAACAATTAAAATACAAAAAAGGTGAGCCACAAGCATCAATTGAACACGAATAGAAAGTGTAAATTGTATGCTATGCGGGGGTGGCAATTATCAAGACTTGATACTTTCTCCGACGAGTGCTCTACTATCTCTCTCTGGTATACTAGCAACCTCTATTTCAGAAAAAAAGACCTCAACATCATAATTTTTAGCAGCATAATCAACTACAATACCATCAACCTCAACATCACTATCAAGAGCAATCATCGCAAGCTCAAGGAGGATCTTATCCACCAAAACCTCATTATCAACTATATTCACAACAACATCCTTAACCTCCATATCACAATCCTCCCTAGCAATTCAACAATACCACTTACAACAACCTTGTACTCCATCGAAAAAATTCTTAGTTGCTCTGAAAGGGATGATGAAGAAGCAAATGCAAGACAACATGCAATTCCAACAAAACACGATTGCCACAATCAAGCTATTGGAAAAACAATTGGGATAAATTTCTAAGCAATTGAAACCCAAAACACCAAGCCATTTACCCAATACGGTGGACAAAAATCCAAAAGAAGCAATTACAAATGAAACAAGAAATGCCCAAAAACAACTCTCTGATCTATATCAAGGTAAAGATTCTTCTTTTACTACTATTATCATAACGCATTTGCCTACTACAGGGACAAATCGTAAACATGCCAAGGAAGAACGATAAAAGGGTCAGAATGATGAGGTCGGAAATTTTCAAACATCTTATAAGATCATTTCACGAATCTCGTACCCTATCCACTCAAAAAAAAAAAAGGAAACAAATAAGCAATTCATTCAATTTTCTAAAATGTTTCAATAATTACACATTACTATATCTTTTGCAGATGCCAGTATACTCTAAATTTTTAAAGGATATATTGGAAAAAGAAGTGCGCACTTCCTAAGGATGAGGCAAAATTTTATTAATAGAAACATATAATGCAATTTTTAAAGAACTTCCAACAAAACTGATAAAATATTGGGGTTTTCCAATAAGAATTGTTAGTGATCGTGACTCATGATTCATAGGAAGATTTTGGACGGAGCTCTTTCAGCTATTAGGGTTAGAGTTGAAGATGTCGACAGTGATGCACCCCCAGACTGATGGGCAAATAGAAAGTGTCAATCACGTATTGGAAGGGTACCTTCGATACTATGTCACGGTAAATAAACTCAATTGGGCTGCTCTACTTGATGTTGCACAATTGTATATTAATCTCTAGAAAAACGAGAGTATGGGAAAAAGTCCATTCAAGATAGTGCTCAGATTCTGGCCCACAATTCCGAAGGATCTAGTGGGAGCATAAGGGACCAATCCTTTTGGTATTCTACTTTGTCAAGTGTTAGCAAAATTGTACAAAAGTTGCTCGACTTTACTTGGAGAAGTCTCAGAAAAGAGTGAAGAAGTGGCAAACCAGAATATGGTGTTCTAAGACTTCAAAAAATGAGAAATGGTGCTCGCGAAGTTATACCAACACTACCATATTCGAGGAATTCATAAGGGCATGATGCTTCGGCATAAAAGCCAATTCCTGGTGCGGAAGAAGATTGGCAAGGTAGCGTACAAAGCTCAGTTGCCTGACACCTTATCTCAACTTCACCCCATATTCCACGTCAGTCTATTGAAGCCATATCATAATGATGTAAAGAACCCACATCAAAATAAGTCGACAAAGATTCCCCCAGGCATGCGGACAATCTATGACAAGGTGGCAGAAGAAATATTGGTTGACAGAGTGGTTCAGAACAAGAATTGACCACCATCGACGGAATACTTGGTCAGGTGGCGTGGACTCAAGTCTGAGATGAGTTGGGAGCCGGCCAAAGACTTAAGGCAGTTTGCAGATCTTGTTCGAGACTTAGAGACATTGAGGGCAGTGCCTAGTTTCAGTGGAGAATGATATTCATAATGGGAAGCTTGGCTGACAAATGCCGAGGAATGCCTGCGACGTGCCAAAAATAGCGAGGCTAGCGGAAATATCGCAAGACATTCCAGAACCTTACAGAATATACCAGAATATTCTAGAAGTACCGAGATCATTCCTTGACCGAGTCGATGTCTATCCGTTAGACTTGGCTGATCCATATATGTTGTATAGTTTATCTTTATCCGCATCTTTGTATAAAATAGTCTATCCGCATGAATATAATTTAGCCTGTATTAGCCCCAGTCCGTTAGAGTGTCTATATATAGGGGAGCACCCCTCATTTTTAACTTACTTCGCTACACAAAGAGCTATACATACTCTATTTTTCTAAGTGCATTCTTACGGTGTCCTTTTTTTTTTTCATTTTAGTGTGCTTTTGAGGTTATGTGAGAGACTCTACCATCAAGTTTCTTGTGAGCGCTGAAGAGTTGTTAGGCCAACGGAAGATGTTCGATGAGGAATCATCCCACCCGTTACACAAGGAAGGGATGATATGGTAAGCCTTGACCAGCTGTGGCTGAGAGATAAGGATATCCAGTCCCCACCACAGGAAGAGCCACATCCGTTAATCACACTAACTGCAAGCCAAACTAAGCAGGAAAGAAATGAGACACTCAATCGCCTACAGAGCCAGAGGACTCTTCTGATGACCTCGAGGATAGCATAAAGATTGGACTAAGTGGCCAATCGCTTAGAGGAAGAACAAAAAGTTGCGGGCTTGGCGAGCTAATAAATAAAGCACAACTGAAAGCAAAGAAAAAATTGATTATCAAGTGGAAGCGCGAGACTAAGGAAAAAACAAAGAAAAAGGAAAAAAGGAAAAGAGCAGATGAGGCAAAATAAATAAATTAAAGAAAGACACCAACGGATTGAAGTTCAAATAGCAGTTAATTTTGCAAAGCTCGATGAAGTCCACACCCTGCAGGCCGAGGAAGAGAGGTTGGCAAACGCATATAAGGAAGTCATCCAATGCATTATTGTTTTTCCTGTTTGCCAATGAGTCCTTTACCTCTTTTCCACTTACCAAACTCAACTCTAAATAATTTTTTTATTTAATTTCATAATTTAAAATCCATATGTTCGATCTAGAACCCACCAATATAAATAAGTATAAATATAATTTTGGTAAAGTATTTTACGGTCTACAACATCTTTTCATTAATTGAATATCTTATCATTTGAAATATGCC